TATGTCAGTAACATGACCTTGGTATCTTTCATATCTCAAAGTGCAAATCTACAATTTAGGGATATTTAGATATTTAGGAGATATTTTTTAATTGGTAGAGGAGCTGGAAAAATGGCTCAGTAGTTCAGAGTACATGCTGCTCTTCCAGAGCACCTGGTTCAGTTCCCAGGACCCACATCAGGAGGCTCACAACCATCTGTAATTCCAGCTTGAAGGTGAGCCAAGGCCTCTGGCCTCCACAGGCCAAACATGTACATGCACTCTCTCTTCACATTCTCTCTCTCTCAATTTAAATCTTTTTTAAATTGTTAGACTAGTTTTTTATTATAAAGAAAATGAATGAAAAAGTTCAGATCTGCATACTACATTCAGAAATTTGTCTGAATAATATAAGTATTTGTGTGTATTCATACATGTACATATGTAGCATGTAATAAAGAGAACAAATATGGTTTGGGGCTAGGTGACCTGAACAAATAAATACCTTAGAATAGACAAGATGATGATAGTTATAGATAAGTCTATATAGGTCAAATCACCAAAAAGAAGTTTAAATAATACTTCTACATCAAATTCTTTTATGTACATGTGTGGAGGCTAGAGGTCAATATTGGGTATCTTACTGTACCTAATATCTGTGTATGTGTGTGAGTGTGGTGCATCCCCATGCAAGCAGAGGCCAGTGGGGGAAATCAGATGTCCTGCCCTATCACTGTCTGCCTTATTCCTTGAGGTGGGGTCTTTTATTGAACCTAGAGCTAAGCTGGTAACCAGTAAGCCCCAGAAATCCTCCTCTTTTCACCCACTGGGGTTACAGGTGAACATGTGCCCACACCCAACTTTTACATGGGTGCTGGGGATTTGAACTCAGGTCCTCATGCTTGCATAGCAAGCAATCCTATCCACTGAGCCATCTCTCCAGTCCCTCCACTTAATTTTTTGAGACAGGGTCTCTCACTCAACCTAGAACTCACCAATTTAACTAGACAAGCTGGCCAGCAAGTCCCAGGAATCTTTCTGTCTTTACCAACTCAGCACTGGGATTACAGGTCAAGTGCTGCTACTGCATTTGGCCTTCCTTCCTTCCCTCTCTCCCTCCCTTTCTTTCTTTTCTTTTCTTTTCTTTTTTTTTTTTTTTTTTTTTTTTTTTTTTTTTTTTTTTTTTTCGGTATTTTTGAGACAAGGTGTCCCTATAGCCCCAGCTGACCTGGAACTTGCTATGTAGGCTAGGCTAACCTTGAACTCACAGAGATCCACCTGCCTCTGCCTCCCAAGTGCTGGGATTAAAGGCATGGGCCACCAGCCTGTCCAGCCTTGCATTTGGCTTTTTTATGTAGATTCTGAAGGACTGAACTCAAGTCCCTGTGCTTGGTGGAGCCATTTCCCCAGCCCTACAAATACTTGAGTATTGTTCCTCACCCACCTGACACAAATGCACAAAGGTTATTTCTCTAGCCAGGAAGTAAGCTATCATTTTACCTTAAGGCTAACAAAAACTACTTCAGTAAATTTTCTTTATTGTTTAGGCCTCTGGAACATTTCCATTTGCTCTTCCTTCTGCCTAGCAGGCCCTTTTCCCACAAACCTAAGTGGCCCAGTTTGGTCTTTCACATTCTTAGATATGCTTCCAAAGCATACTCTTGGCAAGGTCTTCCCTGTCCTTCTACTTAGAGAGTTCTTAGCCTTCTTTGCAACTCTAGTACTGTGCATTTTACTTACATGTTTTATTTCTCTCTCATTTCTTTATAGGAAACTTCATATAAGATTTTTCTTTGGTCTTATATATGCTTGGTACTCTAAAAAGTATGGCCACCACCATCCTACTAGTTTAAAATACTTTTCAGAGCCAAGTCAGGTGTTACATATGTGAATATCTACCACAGCATTTTCCAGAATATCATATATATAACAGGTACTCATAGTTTGATCAAACATGTTGAATAGATATGAAATGAAAAGGAAAGTTTACTCCCCTTTCATTCTAATAAGGCCCTGAGGCAGCCAATAGGCATGCTTCTTAGTCACCCTAATCAACTGGCCATCCATCAATGATTTTTTTCCCCTTTTTCATCATATTCCCCTGTCTTAACTAACTCCTTTCTCTTACACTAGTATACTTTTGTATCTATCTGGATTCTATTTCTCAGGCCTATCCCAAATCAAAACACACTTCTTCCTCCATTGTTTCTTCTTTCAAAATGAATTTTCTTTTCTCAGTGTACCATTTATCTTAAACATACAGCCTTACATCTTTTGCTGTATGTCCATACATGTACACTAAAGTTCCTTGGGTTTAGGATCAGAAAGTTTTCAAAGATATCGAAGAGAACTTTAAACACGAATAGTAGGTAAAATAGGAATAATCTTTATTTGGACAGAAGAGTCTGAAATAAGACCATCTGAATTTTCATAACTGAATGCCATTTACTAATTGTGTAATACACACACGTTAATAAAGTACAAAAGGAAAACATGACGTTCCTGTATTTTTTTTATATCTCCTAAGGATAACCCAACATCCAACACAAAATTATGGAGACAATATGGTACAGGAGTAAAATCAATCTTTAAAACTAGATGGTATGCAGGACACAGTAGTTATGAAATGTATCTAGTAAAAATTAATATTTGAAGTTTGGGCATGGTGGTGGTACATGCCTTTAATCCTAGAACTCAGAAGGCAGATGTCTTTGAGTCTGCAACCAGCCTGGTCTACATTGTGAGTTCCAGGCCAACCAGAGCTACATAGTAAGACCTTGTCTATATTCATGTATAAATAGTCTTGATTACTTAAGCTCTGAGATATCTCAGTTGTGAAACAGGCTAGTTATGAAACCATGGGCACACTTAACTTCCCTAAGTTTCTGCTGTATCATCAAAAAATGAGAAAACAGTCTATCAAAACAAAGTATAGGGCTGTTTGAGAATCAAAGAGAAAATTATATGTATTTAAACACACTTCCTGCCACATCATAAGCATACAACAAATGGTAGCTATCATTACAATTATCAGCACATACCATAAGGTACCCACCTATCTCTCAATATCTCAAGTATTAAGATATTTTATGGCAATTTAAGTATTTTCATAGTCTCTAACAATATATAAAAATGACTAATAAACTATGGTATCCCAGCAAGATGTGTCTTGATATTATACAATTATGAATATATGAAATTGCTGAAGACAGGGTTTTAATGGAAAAGATGACAAAATTATGCGTTTAATGAGCTGCTAGTTTTATTTACATTAATAAAGCTGAATAAAAAATGAATTTAAATTTCTTTCACTACAGCTTTCAAAGGTAACCAATATGCTGAGAAAACATACCACAATATTGGCAATAGTTATTTTTATTGTTTCTTTACTTTCCATATTTTTGAAGTTTTCTACACTGAATATATGTCTATTTCAAATTGAAAACCTTTAGCTTTTTGTTTTAAGTTCTGATTTGTTTTGTTTCATTTTTGAGACAGGGTCTCATCCATGTAACCCTGGCTGGCCTGGAACTGATTATGCTGACCAAGCTGGCCTTGAACTCAAGGGTCATTTGTCTCTTTGTCCAGATTAAAGATATGTGCCAACATGCCTGACATTTAGCTTTTTTTCAAATTTTTATTTTATGTGTATGAGTGTACGGTCTGCATGTATGTTAGTGCACCCGTGTCGTACAATGCCAAAGAGGTCAGAAGAGGGCTTTGGATTCCCCTGGAACTGGAGTTAAGGACCTTTCACAGCCGCCACGTGGGTGCTGGGAATCAAACCCGGGTCCTCTGCAAGGGCAGTCAGTGCTCTTAACTGCTGAGCCATTTTTCCAGCCCTGACATTTAGCTTTTAAAACCTTAAACACAAAGTATTTTTGAGAAACAAAAATTTCTTGCCAACCTGCCTTTGTAAATTCAAAAATGATCCTCTCACAGAAGTTGGTCAAGTTTACACAGCACACATGTATTATGTACATACGCAGAAATGACACTACCTTCATAGCTTTATAGCAGTTTGGGCATGTTAATAAGTTTTTTCTACAGGGAAAAAATTGGCATCAATAAACCTAAAAAGAAAAAGGAAAACAGAACCTTTGGAATGGGCAGCTCAGTTGGTGGAGTGTTTGCCTAGAATGTACAAGGAGGGTTCCTGGTTAAATCCTTAGCGCTGCATAAACTCGGTATTGCGGTATATGCCTATAATATTCCTCCTATTCCAGCACCTGGGAGGCAGAAGCAGGAATTCTGAACTTCAAATTCATCCTCTGCTACATAGTCTGAGGCCAGGCTAGGTTACAAAAGACCCTGTCTCAACAACAACAACAAAAAAAAACAAGGGCCAATGAGATGGTTCAGCAGGTAAAATTGCTTGCTGTCAATCCTGACATCCTGAGTTCAATTCCTAGAACCCATATATGGGTTCTGAGCTCTACCCACACAGCGATGTATACATGTACAAACAAATTAATTAAAAATCAAAAAACCCAGAACCTTTGTGATCAACATGCCATGATCGTTCTAACTAATTCTATTACAAGATGAAAGCCATGTTTTACACATGGGTACAAATAAATATGAATTAATTTCTTTTTTTTTAATCTCATATAGCCCAGGCTGGCCTAAAACATATTTGGATTCAGACTCAGTATATAGCCAAGGCTATCCTTGAACTCCTGACCCTCTTGTCTTCCCCTTCCCCATTACTGGGATTACAGATGTGTGCTATCAAACCTAGCTTATGACTTTTTTTTAAATCTAACTAAATAAGGACAGCTGGAGCTACAGGGAGACCCTGTCTCAAAAAGACCAAAACAAAACAAACAAACAAAAAAAATCAAAAATCTACTTTAAAAACTGGACTAGTTCTGTAGCAGTTGTCTAAGGTACCAGCAGGTGGCTTTCCAACACAAGGATTACACTAGAAAATCAACTGACCATTTGTTTTAGGGTTGTGTGTGTGCAAGCACATAAGTCTGTAATAGAACAGCAAGTTAACAGAAATCCAACAGGCTTACCCGATCAGTAATTGCCTCCTCTCCTGGCAGACACACAGCAGCAGCAGCACAAGCTATTTCCATCACAACGGAGCTGGTAGGAGCATCAGTTGTGGATGAAGACCTGGGTCGGCCTGACTGTATAACAGCTGCCACCTCCTGGCCAGATTTCCTGTTGATCTGAGGACTTCCCTTTGGGGCCTCTGACTTGCCCCGCCTACTATGCAAGCTTGTCCCTCTCTTCATCTTGGGTGGCACACGGATCTGCTGCAGAACTCGATTCAGAGCTGTGGGGTGGGTGGAAACACCATCAATCTCAGCACATGCATTCTGGGTGTCCAGATCCACTTCAGGTTCTGGATCTGTCTGAATCTGCTGCACATCGTGTGGAGACACTGACGACCTCCTGCGCTGATGCTGGAAGAGATGCTTCAAGCCTTGGCCAATCACATTAATGTTCTCCAGAGCATTGTGGGTCATTTTAGATAACTTTTGTTCTGATTCTGTCTGCCTTCTGGCCTCTCCATCTTGGGATCTGCCTCCAGGATCAGGGTCCTCATATAACTGTTCACTGCTGGAAGGCTCCATCAGTAAGCTTAATAAGCTTATTTGCAAACTCAAAAATTTTTAAACATACTGAGACTGTCAAATTAGGTAGGCATTTGCTTCACCAGTGACTATGCATGCAGCTGTGAGACGGAGGCTTCATGCCTACCTAATGTTAAAAAAAAGGAAAAGAAAAAAAGAAAAAGGAAAAAACCAGGTATCAGACATCCATGCAGAAATGCAGAAACACTACTGTTAAAAGAAAAACATGCAGCTAGCCAAACAAATAAGCACTATCATTAAGCCATCTTTAATCAGAAGATTAAAAGATAGTCTTTCAGATAATGGGTTATGATATTTTCTAGAATAAAAAGCCCAGAAGTACACAGGAAATGAAAATAACAATGCTTTAAAAAATACCCTTACAAATTTGAATTTATTAAAAATTGGGGCTGGCCGTGGTGGCACATGCCTTTAATACCAGCACTCGGAGGCAGAGGCAGGTGGATCTCTGTGAGCTCAAGGCCAGCCTGGTCTACATAGTGAGTTCTAGGCCAGCTGGGGATACAGGGAGACCACGTCTCAAAAAGATAAAAAAAAAAAAAAAAAAAAAAAAAAAAGAAAAGAAAAAGAAAAAGAACTGGATACTAGGGGACCATCTTGGAATGGACACCATAATAGCAGTTGGCAGAACACCCAGCCCTGCTTAGAAAATCAAGAGAACAGACCATCCAATATGTTTAGTCTAGCTGAAGCAATTGCATTCCTTTCATTTATAATCACAGCTAAGTATCCACATGCTGAAACTCAGCACATTCAAAGAACAGTGAGAGAGGGATATCCCAATCTCTGTGGATTTTAATGAAAAACTGGAATTCCTTGTTACCATTCATATTCATCAAATTCAATGGTAATTAGATGGGACAGGTTTGCTCTTTTGGGAGGACAAAAGAAAGAAAAGTCTTGTACACTGAATTATCTACCAAAGCACAGATAACCTTTCTGGTCCTAACAGAGAAGCAATCTAGACAATATCAGTTTTCAGAGAGAATATGGCTCTGCTGAATACCAGCTGTCAAGAAAGGAGATTCAGGCTGGGTGTGGTCGGGTGGGGCACATCTACAATCCTAGGGTTAAGGAGGGAGGATCCTCAGTTCCATGTCAGCCTGAACTATACAAGCTCCAGTCTGGTCTGGGTTATATAGGAAAATTTTATTGGTTTTGTTGTTGTTGTTGTTTTTTTTAAAAAAGGGGGGTGCAGAAAGAAAGAGATTCAAAGAAATCCCTTTCTCATTCCTGTCAGAAGCTTCCCATATATCTACGAAAGTCAAAAACAAAGAAGTAACACAGTGAGTGATGGAAGACTAAAGAAAAATGAAAGGTCAAAGGTCAAATAGCAATCATAAGCCAATATTAAATACAAGAAGCTAAGAGGAAGCTGAAAATGAGTCAGCAGATTGCCACAGCTACTGAAATCACATGCGAAGGGGAAAAGGTGGGTAGTAAGGGACAATTTCTTTTTTTAAAAAAATAAGTTTTTTATTGAGTTTATACAAATATATAAACATGCATAGAAACTAGGATCGAGGACAAAACATGACACGGTTCTTCCATGTGTTCCATTAGTTCTTCGATTGAGAAGACTGTAAACTCCCTACATTATATACAGCAAGGACCCTGAACAATCTGCCACTGCCACTGAAGCGCATGAGGACCTTCTGGGGTATGTGGCCTACTGCCTCCAAGTGGCTCACTGTGAACACAGGCTAGAGCTGAGGAACAGGAATGCAGACCCACTGAGTTCACATCCTGATGACTACTCTCAGACCTTCTTGCTATTATGTGGTCACTGACACTGTGGCTCTGCAGTCCCTGTTCCTTCATGCTTTTTTCCTTATCTGCTGGCTCTTCACAACTCAAAAGCATAAGCATGGTAAGGTTAAAGATGTGCATCTCCAACCAATACCTTCCTACTGCCTAAATACTGTTTGTGCCTAAATACTTTCTTCCTCAAGGAGGAACTGAGAGCAGTTCCCATTTGAATGGGAAATCTCACTGCCCTTCCCTGAAATGCTTTGCAGCCCCACAGAAATCCTGTCATCCCACCATGGCCTTGTATTCTTTTCCTAACCGTACACTGAGATGGCCAAGAAATGAACTCGTGTTGGTCTAGACCTAACACAATTTTCTGGGGCTCTTTGTGAGCAAAAGTTTTGCCTATAATATACAAGCTCAATTATCCTGACCTTCCCTCATGAGTTTGCCTGCTAGACTAATAGCCACTTAATTATATTAATCTCATAGAAAAAGGGCTGTGTGACCAAGATAACCTAGTAACAGTGTACATGCATGAGCTACTCTCTTCTCACACTCTGCTACTTAGACTGAGAATATGTAAGGGTTGTTATCAGGCTGATAACTAAGAGGCAGTTAGTGATTTTCCTTATTTACATTGTATTAGCTAAACAGTACAATTGATTTTGTTATTGTTGTAGGTAAAATGGATAAAGTCAGTTTATCCTATCAGATTAGAAGATACCATGAATAAAAGAAAGATATTATTGTAGCTGAGTACTAATGACTGACTTGTCTCATACACAAAGGTGTTGGGAATTTACCACTCAGCACATCTGGGGCAGTATTAATCAACTAACGATCTGTTGGCTTTTTTTTTTTTTTTTTTTTTTTTTTTTTTTTTTGGTCTTTTTGAGATAGGGTCTCTCTGCAGCACCAGCTGGCCTGGAACTCACAATGTAGACCAGGCTGGTCTCAAATTCACAAAGACCCGCCTACCTCTGCCTCCCAAGTGCTGGGATTAAAGGCATGTGCCACAAAGCCTGGCTTTGTTGTTTGTTTTTGTCTTCTTGAGGCAAGGTCTCCTTGTACCCTCAACTGGCTTGGAGCTCACTATGTAGACCAGGCTGGCCTTGAACTCACAGAGATCCACCTGCTTCTGCCTCCCGAGTACTTGGATTAAAGGCATGAGCCACAGTGCCTGGCTTGTTGGCTCTCTATCTAAAAATGGAAAGTGTGGTACATTTTAAATGTCAGTAACTTCATCTGAGATTTCACTAGCATTTGTACATCGTTTATTTTTTTTCTTAATTGAAATGACTGATTACAAAGAGATGCAGGCAATCCCTAGGGAAACCTGCAACACAACGTTGATTTCCAAGCCAAGGATTGCAGGGTAAGACTTTAAACCAAGGCTCTCATAGCTGGAAAGACTAAGTAATACATTCCAGGACTTCTAAAAGCAAGACTTACCTTAAAACTACATAACACTAATGAGCACAGGCTCACAGAGCAGGGAGCCATAAACAAACTTAAACTGGGCTTTAAGTGCTAGACTGCGATTAAGAACTCTGAAGATTCCACCATTCTGATTATAAAATGTAACTGGTAGTGGTGCAGCTATGACCTGATGTAATACCACATAAAGAGCATGGTCAGTTTAGACTGTTTTCAGGTCTCTGTATAGAAAATCTAAGGCCCCAGTTCAGTGTGTACCAGATGTTTAGGAAGGTTAAGTACTAGGCAAAAGTACTACAATAACCCCATAAAATTCTGATAATAAGAATGTTGACACTCCAGGAATCCAACAATCTAGGAACCCATCAATCTCAAAAAATTTTAGGACACCCTCATATATACTTTTTTCTCTAAGAAAAGAAAGTTTGAATGAGTAGTAACTGTTGCTCAGTTTATGAAGAAACTCAATTAACTATATTTAGATCCCTGGTTTACCATAACAAGGTTCAATTGGCTTTTCTTTTATTCATTCACCTGCAAAATGTCACATTCTTATAAGTAAACTAGAGGGGGTGGGAAAAAAGAATGAGGAACAAAACAGCACTGGAAAGAAGTGAGTCCCAAAGATGGGACAAGACAAGGAAGAAGTAGCCACCTAAAGACCACACATTTCCCATCATGTTTCTAAATTCTTAGAATTTTCAACAATTAGTTTCTCTACCAAGTTTTGCTAAAACATAAAACAGTGTAAGTTCACACTCGGGAAACAAATTGCTCTAATAATTAATATAAGGAATGGGAAAATTGTTATTAAAATCCAACAAATGTTTAAAAGTGTGCCACAAAGTCATCCTACAATTGTATATAAATTATGCATGAGTTTTTATTCCTTTTTCTTTCCAAGTTTTTTGTTTATTGATAGCTATGCTAGCCAAGGCTTTTCTCCATGAACCAAGTTAACTTCAAAGGCTATGAAGGGCTGTAGACTTGCCTTCACTGGTCTTCCTTGAGCTCTTCCAGGGGGTACAGGAGTCCTTTTAGGAAAAGCTGAAAAGCAAGTATAAATATTAAGTAAGAAACAGAGAAGGAATACTACTTGTTACAGACACACAGGAAAAGACTGAACACATCCACAAGAAAAGCTACAATTTTATCTTCAAAGGCCTGGCAGTACATATCTTTAATCCCAGCACTCGAGAGGCAGAGATAGGTGGATTTCTGTGAGTTCCAGGCCAGCTTGGTGATCTAAATAGTGGGCTCCAGGCCAGCCAGGGTTACATAGTGAGACCCTGACTCAAAAAGAAAAAACAAACAAAACAAAAAACCCCACAAACAAACATTTCATCTTCCACTATCAGGAAGGGGTAAGGTAAGTGTAAGTATTTAGGCATTTTTCAGTATTGTCTCATTTTTCAGAATGTAATGCAGAAAAATTATAGTCAAGAAAGAAGACATTTGGGGGAAATATTTATTTTTTTTTAATTTTTATTTTATATGTATGCGTGTATTGCCTGCATGTTACACACATTGCACCTGTGTCGTGCAATACCTGCAGAGGACAGAAGAGGTTGTCAGATCCCCTGGAACTGGAGTTTTGGACAGTTGTTAGCTCCCATATGGGTGCTGGGATTGAAACCCGGGTCTTCTGCAAGAACAGTGTTCTTAACCACTGAGCCATCTCTCCAGCCCTGGAGGAAATATTTAAATTGTCAGCACTTAAAAGAGGAAATGAAAAATGTCACAGGTTTCATGGTTCAGCAGTCAAGAGCACTGACTGCTCTTGCAGAGGACCCGGGTTCGATTCCCAGCACATACATGACGGCTATGAACCATCCTTAACTCCAGTTCCAGAGGAATCCAAAGCCCTCTTCTGACCTCTGCGGCACCACACAACACGGGTGCACTCACATACATGCAGGCAACACACTCACACACATAAAATAAAAATAATAAATAAAAAAAAATTTTTTGGAGTCAGGGACTCCATAAAGCCCAAGTTGTCATGGATCCCACTATGTGGATCGGGCTGGAATTGAACTCGCAGAGATCCGCCTGCCTCTGCCTCCCGAGTGCTGGGATTAAAGGCTTGTGCCAACACGCCCAGCTAATAATTGTTTTTTAAAAAAGAGGAAGCTGGGTGTGGTGGCACACGCTTTTAATCCCAGCACTCAGGAGGCAGAGG